TTCCTTCTGCCCAGAATGTTCTTCTCCCTGATTTACCTTGCAGTTTGCTCTCTTCCTCCCTTGCAGTTTCTGCCCAAAGGTAACTTGTTAGAAAGGCCTTCCTTGTCAACACTAAATAAAATTGCATCTCCTTCACTATCAACCTCTCCCCTGCTTTAATTCTTCTTCATGTTATATACTTACTTATATGTTTATTGTCTGTCTCCCTGATTTGGAATGTCAGCTCCATGAGGACAAGGACTGCCTTTTGTTCACTCCAATGAACAGTGCTTGGCATATAGTAAGTGCTCAATAAATATTTGTTAAATGATTGAATGAATGGAGACATAGATCAATGGAACAGAATAGAGAGCCCAGAAATAAACCCATGCTTATATGGTCTATTAATCCATGAAAAAGGAGGCAAGAATATACAAATGGGAAAAGACAGTCTCTTCAACAAACGATGCTGGGAAAACTGAACAGGTACATGCAGAAAAATGAAACTGGACCACTTTCTAACACCACAAACAAAAACAAACTCAAAATGGATTGAAGAACTAAATGTGAGACCTGAAACCATAAAAATCCTAGAGGAGAACACAGGCAGTAATTTCTCTGACATCGGTCATAGCAACATTTTTCTAGATATGTCTCCTATGGCAGGGAAAACAAAAGCAAAAATTGGGGTGCCTGGGTGGCTCAATTGGTTACGTGACTGCCTTTGGCTCAGGTCATGATCCTGGAGTCCCGGAATCGAGTCCCGCATTGGGCTCCCTGCTCAGCAGGGAGTCTGCTTCTCCCTCTGACCCTCTCATGCTCTCTCTCTCTATCTCATTCTCTCTCTCTCTCAAATAAATAAATAAAATCTTTAAAAAAAACAAAAGCAAAAATAAACTATTGGGACTATATCAAAATAAAAAGCTTTTGTGCAGGGCGCCTGGGTGGCTCAGTCGTTAAGCGTCTGCCTTCTGCTCAGGTCATGATCACAGGGTCCTGGGATCGAGCGCTGCATCGGGTTCTCTGCTTGGCAGGAAGCCTGCTTCTCTCTCTCCCACTCTCCCTGATTGTGTTCCCTCTCTCTCTGTGTCTATCTGTCAAATGAATAAATAAAATATTTTAAAAAAGAAAAAAAAAGATGTCTTAAAAAAAAAGCTTTTGTGCAGTAAAGGAAACCATCAACAAAACAAAATAAAGGCAATCTACTGAATGGGAGAAGGTATTTGCAACTGATAAACCCGATAAGGGGTGAATATTCAAAATATATAAAGAACTTAAACAATTCAACACCATAAAAACAATCTGATTGCAGCGCCTAGGTGGCTCAGTTGGTTAAGTGTCTGCCTTCGGCTCAGGTCATGATCCCAGGGTCTTGGGATCAAGTCCCACATTGGGCTCCTTGCTCAGCAGGGAGTCTGCCTCTCCCCCTCCTTTTACCCTCCCCCCTGCTCATGCTCACTCTCTCTCTTAATAAATAAATAAAATCTAAAAAAAAAAAACAATCTGATTAAAAAATAGGCAGAAGACTTGAATAGACACACTTTTCCAAAGAAGACATACAGAATGGCCAACAGACATATGAAAAGGTGCTTAACATCACTAATCATCAGGAAAATACAAATCAACACTACGATAAGATATCACCTTACACCTGTCAGAATGGCTAGAATCAAAAAGAAATAACAAGTGTTGGCAAGGATGTGAATAAAAAGGAAACCTCATGCACTGTTGGTGGGAATGCCAAGTGGTACAGCCACTGTGGAAAACAGTATAGAGGTCTCTCAAATTCCACTTTGGGGAATTTACCCAAAGAAAACAAAAATACTAATTTGAAAAGATATATGGACCCCTATGTTTATTGCAGCATTATTTATAATAGCTAAGATATGGAAGCAGCCTGTGTCCATTGACAGATGGATAAATAAAGAAGATGTGATGTAAAGTGCGTGTGCGCACACGTGCATGCACACGTGCGCGCGCGCGTGCGCACACACACACACACACAATGAAATATTACTCAGCCATAAAAAAGGATGAGATCTTGTCATTTGCAACAACATGGATGGACCTAGAGGGTATTATGCTAAGTGAAATAAGTCAGACTGAGAAAGACAAATACCATATGATTTCCCTCTTACGTGGAATCTAAAAAACAAATGAGGGCGCCTGGGTGGCTCAGATGGTTAAGCATCTGCCTTCGGCTCAGGTCATGATCCCAGGATCCTGGGATCGAGTCCCGCACTGGGCTCCCTGCTCCTTGGGAGCCTGCTTCTCCCTCTGCCTCTCTCTCTCCCTCTGTCTCTCATGAATAAATAAATAAATAGAATAAATAAATGAAAATAAAAAAATAAAAAACAAACGAATAAGCAAACAAAAAGCAGAATCAGATCTATAAATACAGAGAACAAACTGATAAATGAATGAATGAATGGGCAGGAATGATAAGATGTTGAAGAAGCAAGCCAATGATGGAATACTGGACACACTGGCATTAAATGACCCCATGATGAGACTGGAAAGGAATGGGCGGAGGTCAGAGCAATGGGTACCCGTGGTGTCAGAAGCCAGAGGAAGATAGAATTTCAAGAAGGAGAGAAAGGGCAGAGTCAACTACTGAGAGAGGCCAAGTAAGATAAGACCTGAAAACCACTCATTGGATTGGCTCTAGAAATGCGTGGCTGACCTCATGGCAGCAGGGTAGATGGAGTGCAGGGGGCAGAAGCCAGCCTGCAGTGGGCTGAGAAAAGAGTAGGAAGTAAAACAGTGGAGGTAGCCACTGCAGATGAACCTTCCAAGAAGCAGTGGGAGGTGCTAGAGCTGGGGTTGGGAGGTCTGGGGGAGGAGGGCTGATAGGAGGACCTTATGACCTGACCGTGTCTGCTTATGTCAGATGTGAGCAATGTGGATACAGAATTACCACGACACCCTCCTGGCTGTCTCCCTGCCCTTGTCTCCCATCTCCACGCCATCTGGTGGTAAGGCCAAATTAATCTCCCCCAATCACAGAACCTGCCTCCTCCCAAGCTCAGTAACTACCAAAAAATTCCCCTGTGCCTACAGACAAAACCTCACCTCTTAGCATTTAAGGTTTTCCATAATCTGACTCCCATCAATTTCTCTCCTCTTCCTACCCTCGGATGCCACTTTCATAATGCCTCCCTGATCTCCCAGGCGGAAGCCAGGTCTGCTTTTGGACCACTGGGAAAGCCACACCTCCATCTGTCTTCCAGTCCTACTGTCTTTCTTTCATGTGATGCCAATGACACATACCTTACCTCCTCTAAGACACCACCAGCTCTTTGAGGGCTGGATCCATGTCTGACTATCTTTGTATCTTTACCAGGAAGGTCCTCAAATATTTGAGCAAATAAATGAATGACCAAACACATCAGTCCTACTCTGTGCCTTGGCATTTGGAATAAATTTACCCAGGAGCCATGTGAATGGGATCAAAACTTGGCAGACAACAGGCATGGCCAGGGGCCAGGATGGCTGCCTTGTCCACAGCACCATCTAGTTGGAAACCTGACTTGACAGACAGATAGACAGACTGGACTTGAATGAAGATGGAGTTGGGCTGCATTATTATTTCTTGATGCTTGTGCTTACAGGCAGAGGGGTTGAAAGATATACTCGTGGCACTGAAATCCTCTATTCATTTGTGCTGCCTGCACAGTTTGTTTGAATGAAATGAAGGCAGCCCAGGTTTCTTGTTTTAGCTCTGCACTCTTAGGAAATTCACCAAACCCTGGTGGGTCTCAGTTTCTCCACACTCTTCTGCCAAATTCATGAGGGTCTAGTGGGTGTGAAAGGGTGGTCACCGTCTGTGAAGTGCTATTATGCACGGAAATGAGATTTCAACCCGTTCCCACGGTGTGTTCGTGAAAACAGCCACTACCTTCTAAATGCTGGGTAAGCCAGTGTCCCTGAGGATTGGAAACAGCATTTTCGAGTTTTCAAGCCTAGTTTTAATCAGACATACAGAGTGTTCTTGCCTTAAAAAATGAAATTAAATGTCTCAAGACAGCCATTTAATAACAAATAAAAGTGGCTGATCTCCCTTACCTAAAATACTTTCACTGCTCAGTATTGAAGGGTGAATTTAAACTGGGATTCATTAATTTCTTGGCTTGAAGTTCTGGAAGCTATAGGGCACTTTCATCAGTAAGGTGGCAGCCAAGTCTATTTCAGTCTCCTACAAGACATTTTACAACACAATTACCCCACCTGTTAAGAGGAGTTAGTCATGTTAACTCATCTCTCAGAGTTGTTCAGGGAAACAACCAAGTTCTCTTAAAACACAAAAGCCTACCAAAGGAAAATATTTGATATAAAAGCTAGTTTAAGGTTGATGATTTAATTAAAACACACATGTCTTTGGAGTTATCAACATTAATTATTAAAAGAAAAAAAAAGCCTACCAAAGGATATAAGAAACTTACTCACATAAAGCCAAATGCCAACTCATTTTAGATATTCTCAAGTAGGTAGCACCATTGACCATGACACACTACGTGCCTGTCGACCATGTGCTGGGCACCATGGCTGACACAGAGAAGTATCAATTTCTTACCTGTCTGGAATATATGATCATACGTGAGAAAAAATTCTGAGAACCTTCTCATTTGGTCCTTAACCCTATGATAAAGGCAAGGCAGGGATGATTATCTCCTGAACAAAATGGCTTCAAAGAGACTGACTGATTTAACCCAAGTCCCACTGCTTATTAGTAGAAGACAGTAGGTTCTCTCCACGTCTTCAGACTGCCCTCAGCATGCTTACACTCTAGTTGTAGAGGTAAAATACTACCATAGAGGAAGAGACAATGCCCCGCACACAGCAGGTGCTCAATGACCACCGCTTGGTGGGGGTGGTGGTAATGTGGTAGTAATGCTGGTGGTGGAGATGACAGTGACGGTAGTGGCAGTGACAATGACAATGATCATGATGATAGGAGCCGAAGAGGCCCAGGTGTGCATGCTAAAGGACCGGCAGAGATGCTGAATGCTCATGGAGCTCACCTGAGTCCTCTCCATACCAGTCAGTCTGGACATCCATCATGGAACTCATGGTTCCTCCTGCACCATCTGGTCTTCCCTCCAAACTCCGAGAAAAGTGATGGTCCGCATCATCTTTGCTGGGGACAGCACTGTTGCGCAGGAGTGCCTCCAGGAATTGCTTCACGTGGTAGTTACTGTAGGCCAAGTCCACAGCCTGGCCACCGGGCAAAGCCTCGGCCACGCGGGCCAGGCTGAGTGGGGCGGCATAAGGCTGCAGCGGCTCACCACCCTCCACCTCCACCTCGTCGGCCTCAAACTCCACCTTGGGCTCTATCTGTTTGGGCAGAATAGAGAGGTCACCGTCAGCTGGGCCACAGCCCTGGCGGTCCTTCACCACCAGTCCCAGCGGGTGGCAGCCCCGGCAGTCAGTGCAAGGGGACTCTCTCAGACAGTCCACACTCTCTTCTCCCTTGGCTGCCAAGGAGGCCAAGCTCTTGGTATCACAGGAGGTCCCTTCCCTGCCTGAACTGGGGCTTCCACCGTCAACCTGATGAGCCCCCATGGCCACCGCCACCGCAGCTGCCTCCTTCTCCATCTTCCGGCAGATATCGAGGGACGACCTGATGTACGTCTTGCAGAAGTTCACCACATCATTCATCTGCAGGTAGCTGGCCGCTGACATAACTTCAATCACGTTCTCCCCGCACAGATCCAGCTTCCCAGAGTACAGGAAGTCTAAGATGGTGGAGAAGGCATCGGACGTGACAATGTCCAGCGAGGCGGTGCTGGGCCGCCCGCTGTCCTGGATGTAGTGAATGAGCAGGGCTCGGAAGTAGCCACTGTTGGCAAACAGAATGTTCCTGTGGGCCTTGAAGATCCGCCCTTCCACAATGATGCTGCAGTCACAGAAAAAGTCCCTCTTTCGCTGTTCATTCAACTCCCCCAAGAGCTTGGCATAATAGGATTGCATCTCCATTTCTCCACCAGCTGCTGCTTCTCTGGAGTGGCCTGTATCTCTGCCAAGATTTTTTTTTTCCAGTTAATTCACCGATCCCAACCTTACAAATAAGATGTTCAGTTTTAATTTTTCTTTTTCATTCTTCCCAAAACACCAGTTCAATAGTGTCTTTATGATATGGGCTATTTTGGGATCTAACAAAAATCAGAGGTGGTCCAATGGGGTTAAGATATGAAAAACAACAAAAACAACCAAACAAACTGCACGTGGCATAGTACATAGTGTTTTACATGGAAGCTCTCAATAAATTTTTATAAAAACCCGATGATAAAACTGTCCCCGTATTTCTAATAAGGAAATTGAGACTTAGAGAAGGTAGGAGATGACCCAGCTGTAACAGCCAGGACTCAAAACCAGGTCAGTTATCCCCTGGAGTTCCTGCTTTTATGCCTACACTATACTTTCCTCAAGACTCAGAATATAGGTAATACCCAAATCTAATACTTACAGCTCAATCCTGACACGGAACTTGGAGACTGTACTCGCCTTTCTCAGCACACCCCTATTATCATCCCTTCATGGAAGCATGGTGGATTCTTGGGCTAGCCAGCATACAGTCATCGTTCTTATGTTTTTAGTGCCTATTCTGGCTTTGAGAGATCCACCCTTCCCCCATTTTTGGCCAAGGTGTTTTGCATCAAGCTGGTGCCATCCCCAGGCTCTAGATATAAACAGAGGCTAACACAATCAAGGCATCCCACCTTCTGAGTGCAGTGATTAGCTCAGAAATGGCCATGTGGCTTGGTCAGAGCAATGAAAAGCAATACAGGTTTACCGAAGGTTCCAAAAAAGAGCACTGTCTACTCTGTGGGCATGTAGGATGTCCCTGTCTCACCACCAGGGGAACCAGTCCGACAAAGATGACAGTCTAGCTCAGGCAGGAGCAAAAAATGGAGCCCAGGGACACCCTCTGAGCCCCAGTTCATGCTGGGCCAGAAGCCAATTAAGTCTCTTTTTGCCTTAGCTGGTCTGAGTTGGGTTTTCTATCTCTTACGAATGAGAGACTCCCAACTGATGGACTCCACTACCCTCGGTTCACTCCTTCGAATTTTATGTCCTGGCCCTTGTCTGTCAGTGGGCTCCAAGCCTTTGAAGGCACGAGCCATGTCTTATCTCATTTGCTACCCCCCATAGCAGCTGGCAGAGTGCTTTGGACAAAGTAGGTTGGCTAAGGACGAAGGGAGACTCCTTTCTTAACTGCTAAGTAGAACAGGTATAAGTCAAGTTTAAAACCCTTCTGCTGGTGAGAAAGACAGATGCTGACCTTCTTCCCTGAGCTCTCGTCTCAGTCTTTTCCCATCACACAAACCACAGAGCCATCCTGTGACAGTAAGGGTTAACTTGCTTCAAGTTAACACAACCCCTTGCTTACTGACCTCAGGCCCTTGATCTGTACACGAACTAATTTGCTTTCTTTGAGATTTGCAGACCACTGGCCTTGGAAAATGAAGGACCAGACCTTTCCCAGGCCACAGAGGCCAGCAAGTCTGTTTGAAGCCGCCTCAGCTTTCTGATTAGCCTGGCAATCTTTTAACAAAACATTTTTCTTTTTTAAGGTCACACAAATGACTGTACTGACCTCATCTGTAGACCTTGCCCTCCTTTGCAGAAAGATCAGAGTACTCTTGCACAGCCCCAGGGTAGCCAGGAGCCAGACCTTCTTGCACAACCTCTGTGTGCTGAGATAATTCTGTAGCTAGCATCATTGAGCCGCACATCATCAAGAAATGTCAAAGCCCACCGTACTCCCTTAACTGATTAAACCCCTTTAAAAATCCCTGGGCCAGGCAGAAACCTCGGAGTTGGCTTTTGGACAAGAGTCCGCCTTCTCCCCAGGTGGCTGGGCTCCTCTCTCGAGTATTGGCCTCTTGAGCAACAAGCAGCCGAACTTGGGCTTCGGTAACAATCCATCCACTACCCCTTTTCCATACTGACCCACGGAGCACAGAGAAGTTTCTACAACCAAGTACATCATCTCCCTCTACTGGAATCACAAAAGGCCTAGTTAGAGCTGCCAAACACAACCAACTCCTTAGCACTCTTCCTCTCTATAAATGCAACACAACAATACCTCACCTAGCCAGAAATCAGACACTCCCTCCCCAAAAAAAGGGCCCTCCCACTGGCAAAACAGACTCCCCAAGGTCTATGTACTAACTGCACAGACTAGATTCATCGAAGACCATCAACAACCTTATTGAGTGGCCGTCCACACCTACTTTCTACGTATTTATAGCAAGTGATGCATTAAGTTTAGAAACTAGACAACCAATCAGGGAGAGAAGTGAAGGAGTGTCTCTAAGCAAGTAAACTGACAAAGGTAAGAACTGACATGTTTTTAATGAGCTAGAGTTGTATGTGTTCATTATTGAAAGGTCACCAAGATATATTAAGAGAAAAAGGCAAGATGCAAAACAAAATGTACTGTATAATCCCATCCACATATGCATGATTTTCCCCCATTAGGTTATACAAGCAAGAGTTAATAGCAGATATACTTGAGAAGAAGAATTAAGGGTAAGAGATGTGTAGAGGGACTTTCACTTTTCATTTTCAAACTTTCTGTACTGTTAGGGTGTTTTACTATGTGTATGTACTGCTTTCATTTTTTCTTTTTAAACAAAGGGGGGAAAGGAAGAGGGGCAGAGGGATAAGGTAGTTGGCAAACCAGGGAGATAAACCAGTGTAGGCACAACAACTCTTAGCCTGAAGAATGGTTTTATCTACAGGGCCTTCTCCCAGGGCACTTCTTTCTTCCTTTCTTTCTTCCTTCCTTCCTTCCTTCTTCCTTCCTTCTTCCTTCCTTCCTTCTTCTTTTCTTTCTTCCTTCCTTTCTTTCTTTCTTTCTTTCTTTCTTTCTTTCTTTCTCTTAGAGAGAGAGAGAGACAGCTAGAGAGGGAAAACAAACAGGGGGAGTGGGAGAGGGAGAAGCAGGCTCCCTGCTGAGCAAGGAGCTGGATGCGGGGCTTGATCCCAGGACCCTGGGATCATGACCCAAGCTGAAGGCAGATGCTTAATGAACGACTGAGCCACCCAGGCGCCCCTCCCAGGGCACTTCTATCTTTCACTGGAAGATGCTCCTTTCCAGAAATAGTACCCAAAACCCATCTCCTTTGGCTTTCTTGCTGTAAATAATCTAGATTCTACTGGGTCATATAAATACTCCCTAACTCTGCAAGTCTGTCCCCAAGCCTATACTTGGCATATACTGTGGAAATCATTATTCATATCACTTGCCTTCAGCATCCTGCATCCCTGGGACACTTTTTCTCCTTGGAAAGAAGCTCTTTGGGTATACTGCTGTCAGAAGTACATTTATCCACACTCTGGCAGGGACCACCCCCCCCCAAGCCCTCTCACTGTTCCAGTTCAATTCAACAGTGACTAGCTACATACAAGGAAGATGCCAGGAATAGAAAAATGAACCAACTACAGTGCATGTCCTCCAGGAGAGAGCAGATGCCAACACTACCACCTGCAACACACTCCCACATTCCCCAGGGATTCCTACCCAGATCCCACAACTGTCTTCATTCAGGCACCAAAACCAGCGATGAATTCCACCAAACTCTGACAAGACTCCTTCAGTCTTACCAACTTGAGAATAATGAAAACCTGATAAAAAAAAAAAGGTGGGGGTGCGCATCTGAGTGGCTCAGTTGGTTAAGCATTAAACTACTGGTTTCCGGCTCAGGTCATGATTTCAGGGTGGTGAGATCAATGGAGCCCCTGGTCCAGCTCCACTCAGTGTTCCACACAGAGTCAGCCTGAGATTCTTTCCCCCTCCCACTTCCTCCCCTTCTGCTCCTCCTCATTGCTCATGCGCGCTCTCTCTCTCTCTCTCTCTCTCTCTCTCTCTCCCGCTCCCTTAAAAAAATCAAAAAAAATCATAAAAAAAAAAAAACCCTGCTCAATTGCTAGCATTTACTGAATACCTCTCCTCATGAAGCACTGTAAGAAGTATCTTACAAGCATTAAGTTTTATCTCACAATAACCCAATGCAGTAGATATAATCGTTGTACTCTCTTTTTCAGGGGAGGAAATTGAGGTTCCCAAATTTATAGCTAAGACGCCCAAGCTGGGATTGGAACCAGAAATGGTTTGATTCCAGAGTTGACATGCTAAACACTATACCAACCTGACTCCCCGAAGGGTTGGGGAAGTCACTCCTCTCCCAACGCATGGAGTGGAGGGGAACGACACAGGAGAAGAGTTTCCAATTCCACCGAAAAAATTTCAGGGTCAACTGCATCTTCGGTTCACCTGCTAAACTGCTCCCAAGAAAAGGGGATTCCCCCCGCCCCCTTCCAGAGCCAGACGACCCTGCAGAGATCACGGGAACTAGTTACTGGGCCGGTCTTTGGCTCCAGGGTGGGGAACTGGGGCCTTGCCCCTCCCGTGGCCTCCTGCGGACAAAGTGACCATCGCTGCGGTGAGCACTGCCCCAGTCTGGCCGAGCCCTCGCCCACCGGCACCATCGCAATGGGCGGACGCCAGGACCACACAGCTGGACGACGGGGGGGGACAGTCCAATGCCAGGGAAGGGGGGACAGCTGCCGCCGCGCCACGCCACCCTTCCCCAAGCTGGAGGGGAGGGAGGGTCGGTCATCCAGCTCAGGTTCGCGCGGCGGGGGTCTCGGGAGTAGCCAGGGCCGGGAGGTCCAAAGGAGGCCCACCGAGAGGGGAGTTCCCTGCCCGCTCCCTCCATCCAAGGCCGACCTCCTGGGGAGCCCCGAATCCTCCCCAAACCAATGAAAGCTGCAGCGCGAACCCACTTCTCGGCTCTCACCTTTCAGCGGGGTCCAGCCGCGCGGCCGCCGAGCTCCGCGCACCGACACGCCCCCCTTTCATTCACCTGTCGCCCCCTCTATGAGAGGCGAGGCAGCTGACCAATCACAGGGGCTCCTGGGCTTAGGAAGGCGGGCCCTTCGGCCTGCAGGTTAGTCAATGGCGCCCGCGCCCCCTCCG